GCTTTTTAGAGTCATCATGATAAATACCCTAAAATACTGGGTAAAGTTCTTCATTCATATATTCATAAATGGCTGTCTGAGTTTCCATAAATGAACCACTTGCTGCTCACTGTTGCTTTATCACAAAACAATAAAATATTTTTGATTACATAAAATAAATCTCCAAGCTTCTGTCTTGTTAAAATCTTTTGCTTCTTAAACTACATCAGTGTCCTTTACTTACACACCCTTATCTTCTTAATCCAACAGCTTTAATGTGTGCAATGGTTTCTTTTTGACGTGATATGATAACATTAGCAAAACAGGTGAGTAACGAGGATATTTGTGGAGTGGAAAAGCAAGCTGAGCTTTGCTTTGTTGCTGCAGGATTCTCCAGCGACTAGAAGGAAGAAATCCGGATTATAACAATTTACTACCTTACAAACTCTTCTGAAGTAGTTCACAGAACTATCCATCTCTAATCTGTGGAACAATGGTTGATTTTTGTAAAGTTTTCATACTTTTTTGCTGTTTTAATTTGTCGCCTAGAGCCGTTTGAGGAGCCTAAATTTGATGGATGTTTGATTGAAACAGCCACATGTCTAACGCTTGAACTGCTTTAACTAACATTTTTCATTGACTAATGTTTTCTTTTGGTATTAAACAGATTGTAAAAAAAAAGCCTTATGTCCATCCTTTTGTCCACAAGACCTGTGATGGCCTGCAACTGATAAATCTGAGCGCAAGCATCAGACTGTCACAGTTTGGTAAGAACACGTGTATTCTTACACCTCTAGTACAATTAAAGAAAAAAAATCATGCTTATATAAATTGTTTGCGATATAAAAATAAAGCTTAGCACCTCTTTATAGCAAGTGTTACTTCACTGGAATAAGAGTATATAGTGCAAATAATTGTGCTGAAAACATTTAAGTGCTTTGAAATACAAGCATGTGAAAAGTCTTAATTAATGAAATACCCATTAGTGATTAAAAAATTATATTAAATTGAAGCTCTTTGTACTCCCGTGTAAACAGGGTTACCAACGCCACTGGAAGGAAATGGTTGCTGAAGTGAGGAGGCCATGTTTAGGAAAGACCAACCATGGAGGCACTGAGGTCCCACAACCTTTTGGCAGCAGCGTCATCTAGAGCTGGAGCTGCAGGCTTTTTGCGAGCACAGTCGCTGTACAGTGGGAAAAAAAAACATAAAGGAAAAAAAATTCAAGAAAATGTCAGCAGAATTTTATCCTTTTTTTTTTTTTTACAGTGCAAAAAGACAGAAACAAAAGGTGTGGCTACAAAGATATTCAACTAAGTTAGAGCAGATTTCCCCAAAAGTTACTGATAATCAAAATCCGTGTTCACTTGCACTTGCCTATAGTAGAGGCCGCTCTCGTTTGCCAGACTCTCCTCCACAGCACAGTAGATGCTGGTTTGGGCTCCTTCCCAGGGACTTTTAACAAACATCATCAGGACTGAGGCCATCGTCCTCTTCCACCATGACCAGTGAGGGAACAGGTGGCGACCTAACTCAGTGCGAATCAGTCCAGGGTGAAGACTGTACACTGTCACACCGGTGCCTAAAAAGAACCCGTCATATAAAGTTTTAGTCACAACATGAAAAAACAATTAGTGTGTTTTCACGATGCGAAAACAGGGGCGCACTGAATGTGTACCTTTCAGTCTTGCAGCCAATTCCCTGGCAAAGAGAATGTTTGCCAGCTTGCTTTGCCGATAGCTTACCAAATTATCGTAGTTTCTGTCTAGGTTAATGTCATCGAAGTGAATGCGACCTGCAATATACAAGTTTTTTTGGTTCAATGAATTATAGTATATGCAGAAAATAGGTCAGTAAAACTCCGTAGTAGCTCCATTTTACCTGTAACGTGTGCAACGCTTGAAACAACAACAACACGACTTGGAGCTGATTTCTTCAACAGGTCAAGAAGAGAATTGGTGAGGAGAAAATGCCCCAAGTGGTTGACACCGATCTGCATTTCAAAACCATCTTCCGTCTGCCACTTAGGACACATCATAATACCTTGATGATAAGGAAAACAACAATGAAATTTATGGAACTAAACTACCAGTCTGCTGAAGGAAGAACAAAGGAAGAAGTGCCACAGACCTGCATTGTTAATGAGGATGTCCAGACGTTTCTCATTCTCTTGGACGTACTTAGCGAGCTCCCTGACAGACTTCAGTGAAGCGAGGTCCAGTTTCTTTACCAAAAGGTTGTTGTTCCCAGTCTTTTGACGAATTTCATCTGCTGCACTGTAGGCTTTGGGAATGTCTCTGCAGGCCATGATCACTCTGGCACCTTGTCAAAAAACATAATAAAATTATTTAATAGCAACACTCAGCTATAGATAGGTCTGTGTGCTTGCACTGCCACTACTTTTTGCAGGACTATGAGTGTTACATGATATGATGGTTACTAATGAGAAAGTATATCAAAGATTTTAATCAGTTGGTTGATTTCAAGACTTCTGTGTATTTGTCAGTAGTTTAAAGGCTCTCCAGTGAGATGCTGAACAAATTGCTAGACTAACCAGAATATACTGTGTGCATGGAGTCTAGAATAATGCAATGCTGGCCCTTCCCCACCTGTGACTCTGTGCTGCTATCCAGCTGGCTGAACAAGAGTACTACACTGTTTCCTTATACACATGAAGAAATAATCCTGGCTGCAAAGAAACCCATGTCTATTACTCTTTTTTGAGACTGTGAAGCTGAATCTGATCCAAATAAATGACTTGTTGCTCCTCCTCCACAGAAATTGATGACAGGCTGAAAAGATAAGTCAGCCATTTGATTTAGGTCTGTTAAAGAAGGGGCCCATTTCAAGGTTGCGCAACTCAAAGACTACAGTCAGAGACCATCCTTACATTTGCATCGGATAGTTCCAGAGAAGCTGATGATCAGCTGCATGAATGGAGGTAGGAGGCACTGGCATTCTTTATTCTATTAATCTAATAGTATATGACAATATAGACATATTTTCAGTTTATGCAGCTTTACTTTTATGTCAGAAAGCTACTCTTATTGCTTCATGATATTTTCTCAGTATATGTTTTCTGTCCTAATTCCTATCCAATATAGATGTGAGTACAGCTTAAAGGATCATAAAATAGCATTTGAATAATCTCTTATGATGCTTTTTGAGATTAGGTGGAGTCCTAGACCCTCCAAGATTTACTGTTATCTTTAGTCTGAGTCCAGCTGAGCTGAAATTCTATTAAATCAAGAGGCCAAGTAAGTTATTACTGCAGATAAGATATTAACTAACTCTGTAACCCCGCCAAAAATATTGTGATTTCCATCTATGCTTTGGTGTGTCGTCAAAGAAATCAAATAAACCCAAAAACCCTTCCTCCTCTCCACAGAACATCTCACCTCTCTGAGCCATGTCCATGGCTGTCACTTTCCCAATCCCAGTGTTTGCCCCTGTAATCAGGACCGTCTTGCCATCCAGCCTGGCCTTGCTCCGACAAACCCCTCCTGCCATCCATCTTCGCAAACCTAGAATCCCTATTCCTATCAGAAGGGGGACAAGTGTTAACAAAAGACTCTGTGGAATTGCATGTGGTTTGGTATGTTTTAATTAGTGATAAATTACTGCACTCATCCTAGTAGATATTTCACTTCTTTGATAACAACTGTAGTAAGATTACAATGATTGTCTCTGTCATGACAGAATAGAGGGGCATGAACTGTTATGGGTCCAAAGTACAGTTTACTTTGACATTAAACTTCCTAGTGTGCATTCTGCACAGATGCCCTTTCTGCTTTAAAAATTTCAGAAATCACCAAATGTTTCAAAACACGTCCAAAAAATACATATGCAAAAGACTTACCTGCAACAGCAGCGACTGTGAGACCCGTACTGTGCTTCTCCACGAAGTCCTTCAGAACATCTGCGTAATTCTGCATATTTCAAGAACCTATAGGAAACTAAAAGCTGTGGAAAATTATAACTGATGCAAACTTGAACTTAAAACAATTTCTTAACATTAACTTTAAATTCTCTGGAAGCGAATTATGTCAAACCATGAAAAAAGTTGCGGTTTCCTGTTCTTTATCACAGTGCTCTTACTTCGCGTTGAACTATAGGGTATTACGTAATGAGTACTTATGAACGGGAAAAAGGGCGCTGAGGGCGTTTGGATGGGATTTTCAGAATAAGACTCCAGATAATATGGACATATTTTTGGTGCAAAAGTATTTATGCCTTGCAGCTGTGAAGTAGCAGAGGAAGACAAAAATAGATACTAGCCTTATATTTCATGAACTGTGGGAAACTTTAAATAGTTGTATCATCTCACTTCGGCTAAAATGTTCCTTGTGGTTGAAGTTCTGAAACCATTGTAATGCATAATCTGAGCAAGGGGATTATATTCAGATAAGAGAAAAATAAGATTGTGATCTGATTTGCACAGAGCATATCTTGCTTTGGAGAAGTATCAATTTGCACAAAACAAATCCAAACGTTTTTGTGTGTTTTCTGTCAGAAAAGCTGAAAAGTTGTTAATAAATTGGAATTACTGAAGAAAGTGGCAATTATAAGGTAAATTATAATAACAGCAGAATTGGATCTTAAAATATGGACATTTTTTTTGTTTCTCCAAGCAAGAGATTTTGTGTTTTTAAACATTAAATATTAAGCAAAAATATAATCAAGCTGAAAAATTTCCTTGGTTTTTAAGCAACAAACGACACGTTTAAATTTCACATTTTGTATTTTGAAATAAACAGTAAATAACTTCTTTTTGTTGTTGTTGTTGTTGTTTTTCACATCTGATGTAGTGGATTTTTTTCCTCTGTATTCCTGGACAGGAATCTAGTTCTTGGACCAACATCTTCGCGTGACTGTAGGAGGCGCTGTTTCTGCTCTCATCCCTCAAAGATGTTCTGTGTGGCAAAGCTGAAGCAAACAGTACATCATTTTTCTGACGCGCTGTATCCATGGAGACATAGAGTTTTCGTTACTTTCGCTACTCTCTGCTCGTGAGTTGACGTTTTAAATATAAAAAGAAAATCAAACCATTTGCTATTGCTGTTGCGCAATTAGAAAATGACAGACGTAAAAAAATGAGGTAGAATCAAAAGAGTTACTACTTCTCATTTTCAAACAAGTATCAGTGTGTTTGAATGTGAATGTTTGAAATAAGTAAAATAAGCTAAACAAACTAAACTAAAAGATTATAGTAAAAATAAACTCAAATCACTTTTTTATTTTAAGTATTGTTGCTTATCACTGGATTCCAATTATATGATCGAATTACAAAAAATTGCGCCAATATAAGTTTAATATTTGTTTGAATTTAATAATTTAGAAAAGAGTTCAATCGGGCCATATTGTGCTTTTATTTTGAAAGGTGAGTCGTGAAAATGCAGTCAAATTTGGGAGTTGTCTTGTGGACCAAAGGGTTTAATTTATCTCTGAAAAGATTTATTCTGTATAAAGTTTTGCTAAGAATTACTTAATAACGTTATTTAAAAAAACAACAAACAAACAAACAAACAAACAAACAAGCAACAACAAATATAAGTAAATAAGCAAACCGGTTCCCGGAAGTTCTTCGAGGTGGCGCCACGTCAGAGCTTTTCCTCTGTCACCGTCATTTGCAAACAGCACTTCTTTAGTCTTCTGCGCTTTAATTTAATTTTCGCCATGCTCCGGCTGGGACTAAGCTGCTTTCTGCTGCATGTGGCTTTGGTTTTTGGGACGGAGCTCACATTTGAACTCCCTGACAACGATAAGCAGTGCTTCTACGAGGAGTTATACAAAGATGTGAAGTTTGACATAGACTTCCAAGTGAGTTACCTCCCGAGCTTCTTGTATTTTAAAAAGTCGTTTTTTAAAAGTGAAAAAAAAGTATTAAAATCTTATCTGCATTACCTAAAGTATTGCTGAGTGCTACAAACATATGTTATAGGCAGAGGCGTTTCTAACATGTACTGCAAACGGGACATTCAATTAAAAAGTCTAGACGTAAAATTCTCTACATAAACTTTGATCTTCCAAGTCTGGGCATGTATTTTTGAACATTTCCTAAATGTTCTAAGCTTTTACTGGCTTCACAATCCACGCTCTTCACATGCTGTCTTTCCTTGTATTTTACTTCCAAATAACAGACTTTTGGATTATCTTTTAAAATGGCAAAAAATAGCCCAGTCTCATTTATGAAGAACTGGTGTCATGCGTGTTTTTTGTGTTGTTTCCCTGGTTCACACCTGAATCAAACGAATGGGCCCTCATGGAGCTTTGCTGCTTAATGGCCACAGCATTTTGTTGGAATTTGAAGGGGAAACGATGCTATAGCAGAAAACTATTCTAGTTGATGTACCCAAGTGAACTGGGACTGGCAGCACTGTAAATATGTTATTGTTGACAGGTTTTGTAAACCATTGTTTACATGTTTCAGGTTATTTCAGGGGGCAACTATGACGTGGACTGCTTTGTCACTGATCCCCACGACAACGTCCTGTACAATGAAAGGAAAAAGCAGTATGACAGCTTCTCTCACACCACGGCCATGGAGGGAGTCTACAAGGTCTGCTTCAGCAATGAGTTTTCCACTTTCACACATAAAATTGTGTACATGGACTTCCGGCACGGAGAGGAGCAACCTCTCCTGGATAAAATGAGCGGGAGTACAGCGTTGACTCAGGTAGGTCTGGGGTTCTTGGTGCTTGGAAACTATCCCAGTAGACTAATATTTACATGTTTAATAGGACTGAGTCAGAGATCACTGGGGTCAGAAAAAATAAGAGTCAATTTAATGGACACAAAATGAATAAATATTATTATATTTACCTTGCACAATTTACACTATATACATTTTTCAAAATATGTTACACACATGAGGTCTCCATTTGCTCTATTGACAATCTGTTCAGTTTCATGTTAAACACTGTGACTACTGTTCAAAACACTTTGATCGACTTTGATTTGATGGCTTACGCAGCAGCTGGGTTAAAACGGACTGGGTTCAGTAGTGGGACACTTTAGAAGAACTCCACTAGGTGGAGACAGTTATTTCGATGTGTTTCAGTAGTATTTTAACACTTTCTTCCACTGCTTATATGGTGATGTTGTACTGTTAAAGGAGCTTGTTATTATTTCAAAACACTCCAACAAATTAGTAGAAACCGAGTAGTTTTGTACAACTTTGAGTGTTAAATCTTTGCAGGTCTCATAAAGACTTGGGCATCATTATTTAACAATAGAGGCACCCAAAAGAACACAGTATAAGTTTGTCTTTTGGGCTGCATTTGTAAGTTCTTTATTTAGGGAGAAAATATCCAGTATCAAATTTGGAAATCATTGGGTGTCATTTCTGCTGGCTTTGACTTAAGTTTAGATTTCTCAAATCTTAAGAGTAAGAATTGATATTCTTATTTTTAGTCAGAGACCAGTCTTTGTTTTGTTTTCCTCCATTGCAGGAACATATATCTTAAGAGTTTTAGAAATTGCCTTAATATTGCTGTGTAAGCAATTTCCTATAGTGAATGTATTGCTTTTATTCTGATCCTTATGTCCATGTCTTGCTTTCAGTTGGAGTCGTCCTGTGTTGCCATTCATGAAGTCTTGAAGGTGGTGGCTGACTCGCAGACATGGTACAGGCTAAGAGAAGCCCAGGACCGCACAAAGGCAGAGCACCTGTTTGAGCGGGTGACGTACTGGTCGATCGGAGAAACTGTTCTATTGTTCGTCATCGGTGTTGGTCAAGTGATGCTTCTAAAGAGCTTCTTTAGTGAGAGAAAGGGCTCAGTGGCGGCCACCACTTAATAGTCATCTTGATCTTTAGGTAACATGGGCATGAACATTTTCCAAGTGCCAGCTTGCATTTGGTCATAAGCACATAAAGTAGGATTTTTTTTTCCTGTTAACTGGATTCAATAGTTGTTTTTTTTTTGTTGTTGTTTTTTTCTGACTGCTCAAATACAATCCTCAAACTTGAATAACTTTTTCTTAACAAGCAAAATGTAAAAAAATTACCACAGTAGTTTTTTTTTTTAAGTATAGTTCTTATGTTGTCTTTTAATAGAAGTGAGACATGATTATTGTCAAAGTTTCACCCCGCAGCCAGATTCTGTTAAAAACGTGGAAAATGAATAAAAACCAAACCAAAGAAAGATTGTGAATGTCAGTAGTGATTGTTTTAATCTGTGATCTTAATTTTGTCGGGGTGCACCGATTGCAGTTTTCTGGCCAAATCACTGATATTTCCAAAGCCTGGCCTGATGATTCAGATTTTTTTATTTATTTTTTATCTGATAAATCACTAAAGATAGCAAGTCTCTAAGTTGGCAACAGAAGGGTGACTGTTACCAGTCACACATGTGCAGGTGTGATCTGATGGACAGGTCTGTCAGTCCTGTCTCATGACAGAGCAAAACAAGACAGGAGTTGATTTTCAGACGTTTGCAGAGGTTGATAAGATTGGTTTTGCAACCAAAATGCAAGAAATTAAGGCCAATTTATCGGTGCACCCTTATCTATTTGTGTTCAGTGTTGCAACAAGCTTTGAGATGATGTCACATTGTCTTTTAGATGTATTGTTTTTTATGTTGTTGTGATGCTTATTAATTGTATTTAAATGTTTGTCTAGTTTCAACTGCTTGATTTGTATGTTTTTGTTTGTCATGCAAAGAACAAAAAGTAACCAAACATGGCTTGTCTGTCATATTGAGCTGGAAACACAAACTGTTTTGAGATTAAAGGTGCCAAAGCTGTTCATTAAAATTCTCAGAAGGAGCCTTTTAATTATTATTATTATTTTTTGTATGTTTAATTTCATGCTTTTCACTTCTTCACTATTTTTATTTCAGGACATACTTGGTCATTTCATGTCTCTAGTCTAAAGATAAATACAGGTTTTGCACATCAGTCTTATTCTTTTTAGGAAATGGGTGCCTTTTAAAATATTTTTGTTTGATTTCCTGTGAAGTTAAATTAAAAAGCCTATCTTTAGACATTCTGGTAAAATCAGAAGAGGGTTTGCAGTTTCATTTGACTAAAAATGTAAATTTAGGAAGCAAACAATTTTAAGATTTTTTGGTAACTTTTTTTGTTTTTGTTTGCACTGGCTGTCAAAACATTTCATTGAATATTTTTTAATTGTTAAAATAGATTGACTGGACGTTTCAGCACCATGACTGGTCATACTTTTAACAGGATTATAGAAAATTATTTTTGAAACATTATCTTTATTATACAGGTTGGGTCTAAGTACAATTCAGTTTAATCGTCGACCTGTGGCTATTCAATA